CTCCATGTGTGTGTGATTGTGTTGGTGCCATGGTGCTGTGGTGGGCAGGCGAGCATAGCGGACCAGATTGAGCGGCTCATGGAGGTGGAGAGCTTGCAGAAGGTGAGGTGGCAGGCTCCGTACGGGCTGGTGGTGTGGGGGCACGTGGTGTGGTGTGGGGGCAAGTGGTGTGGTGTGGGGGCACGTGGTGTGGTGTGTGGGCACGTGGTGTGGTGTGTGGGCACGTGGTGTGGTGTGTGGGCACGTGGTGTGGTGTGTGGGCACGTGGTGTGGTGTGTGGGCACGTGGTGTGGTGTGGGGGCACGTGGTGTGGTGTGTGGGCACGTGGTGTGGTGTGTGGGCACGTGGTGTGGTGTGGGGGCACGTGGTGTGGTGTGGTGTGGGGGCACGTGGTGTGGTGGGGGGACTGGGAGATGCTTGTGAGCGGCTGATGGAGGTGGAGAGCGTGCAGAAGGTGAGCGTGCACAGGGCAGGACTTATTGCTGTCAGGGCAGGACTTATTGCTGTCAGGGCAGGACTTATTGCTGTCAGGGCAGGACTTATTGCTGTCAGGGCAGGACTTATTGCTGTCAGGGCAGGACTTATTGCTGTCAGGGCAGGACTTATTGCTGTCAGGGCAGGACTTATTGCTGTCAGGGCAGGACTTATTGCTGTCAGGGCAGGACTTATTGCTGTCAGGGCAGGACTTATTGCTGTCAGGACAGGACTTATTGCTGTCAGGCGGTGTGGGGAGTGGGAGATGAAAGGGACATAGTGCTGTGAGGTGGGTGGCAGGGCTGAGAGGACAAAGTGTGGGTGAGCTCTGTGGATGCAGGTGGCTGATGGAGGGTCATAGCGCTGTGAGGTGGCAGGGCTGGGAGGTCAGAGTGCGGGTGAGCTCTGGCAGACCAGGTCGAGTGGCTGATGCAGGTGGAGAGCTTGTTGAAGGTGAGCGTGCACAGGCAGGCCTTGTGGGGGATGCAAGGTCAGGGCTGTGGGGTCAGGGCTGTGGGGTCAGGGCTGTGGGGTCAGGGCTGTGGGGTCAGGGCTGTGGGGTCAGGGCTGTGGGGTCAGGGCTGTGGGGTCAGGGTGGAGAGCCTGCAGAAGGTGAAAGAGGAGGCTTCGCGAGGTAAGTGATGTGATGCAGGGTGCGCGATGTGATGCAGGGTGAGTGGGTGTGCAGGGTGAGTGGGTGTGACCTGTGACGGCATCCAGGCGCTGTAGGGGCCTAGCAGTTGAAAGGTGAGCCTTGAGGTTAACTTGCTAGCGAGAGGCTAGATCAGTGAGCGTCACTCCCGACTGTTTCCCTGTGTCCCAACCCCCTCTTCCCCCTTCCCCCATCCCCACCATCCATCCCTGTTGTTTCACCAGGAGTGGAAGCAACAGGCGGATGTGAACGATGGGTGTTGTTTGCTCGTGCCTGCCTCCATTCCCTTCTTGCTGCTTACCCTGTCGCTCTCCCTCGCTCGCCCCTTTCTCCCCCCATCCCACGTGGAGTGGAAGCAGGAGGGAGAGGTGAACGACGAGTTGGCTCAGCTGAGAAGCAATGATGCTCAGTTTCCCTTCTAACTGCTTTCCCTGTGTCCCTTCTCACATTTCTTTCAATGTGTCTCACCCTCCCTCTCTCCCTCCCCACTTCCCCCCCACCAGGAGTGGAAGCAGCAGGCGGAGGTGAACGATGAGTTGGAGCGGCTGCTGAGAAGCGCGCCTGCTCTGCCTGATTCCGCCTCCTGGCAGACCTGATTCGAATGGCCACCTTGACTTCAATGGCACCTGATTCGAATTGCACTCGACTTCAATGGCACCCAACTTTCATGGCACCCTAAATTGAGGACTTGGAAGTGCCTTCAATTGTTGACTCAGCAGCACCGGCACATGCTAGAACCATAGTTGACAAGGGCTGCTACTACTGTTTTTCAATCCAGCTTGTCTTGTGTGGTCCCACTACTGTTTGCTTGCTCTGTTTGTAGGAACTGGAGGTTGAATTAAATGCCGGGTTGGTTTTCCACCATGTGGTTGGATGCCAGTAGGGAGGAAATTGAATGAATGCAAGGAATCATGCTGTACAAGGGATAATGCTTCCTCTTACTGTATAAGGGATCATGCTTGCTCTTACTGTACAAGGAATAATGCTTCCTCTTACTGTACAAGGGATAATGCTTCCTCTTACTGTACAAGGGATAATGCTTGCTCACAAAAACATGTGAGCACTGGTCTAACATGCTGTACAACACCAAGGCTACCAAGTCTACCTCAGCTCTCCAACACTAAATCCACCACCACTCCCAAGTTTTTTTTTTTTTTTGGTTCAGCGCATGCGCAAGCCATGGATCAAAAAATCCGTCCCGTCGCATCCCCTTGGATGCCGACGGACCGACTTCCTCAAGACGAGGGGCGTGCCGTTCTCGGCTAAAAAACCTCCATGGCCGCTATTGATGCATGTCGCTGTTTTTTCTGCCCACCAACTCCCAACTCCTCCACCCCTAGCAGCTCCCCAACTCCTGCACCAGGCTACTGCACCCCTTCTTCACTGCACCAGTCTGCTACACCCCATTCTATGCACCAAGCAGCTGCTGCTTCCTCTCTACTCTACATGAGGCGCCTGCTTCTCCCGTTCTCCCCTTGAATGCACCAGGCTGCTTCACACCTTCTCCTCTACACCAGGCAGCTACTCCCCTTCATCTGAACCAGACTGCTCCATGCCTCTGAACCAGGCTGCTACTCCCCTTCTCCTCTGAACCAGGCTGCTACTCCCCTTCTCCTCTGAACAAGGCTGCTCCTCCCCTTCTCCTCTGAACCAGGCTGCTCCTCCCCTTCTCTGAACCAGGCTGCTACTCCCCTTATCTCTGAACCAGGCTGCTACTTCCCTTCTCCTCTGAACAAGGCTGCTCCTCCCCTTCTCTGAACCAGGCTGCTACTCCCCTTCTCCTCTGAACCAGGCTGCTACTCCCCTTCTCCTCTGAACTAGGCTGCTACTCCCCTTTCCTCTAAACCAGGCTGCTACTCCCCTTCTCTGAACCAAGCTGCTACTCCCCTTCTCCTTTGAACCAGGCTGCTCCTCCCCTTCTCCTCTGAACCAGGCTGCTACTCCCCTTCTCCTCTGAATCAGGCTGCTACTCCCCTTCTCCTTTGAACCAGGCTGCTCCTCCCCTTCTCCTCTGAACCAGGCTGCTGCTCCCCTTCAGGGTTTGACTTCTTCTCCCCTTCTCTGCACCAGGCGGCTGCTTCTCCCCTTTAGGGTTTAGGGGTTCCTCTCTTCTTCTCTGCACCAGGAGGTAGCTTCTCCAGGCAGCTTCTCCCTCCAAGGTTTAGGGGTTCTTGTCTGCAGGCGGCATCTCCCCAGGCAGCATCTCCCCTTAACTGCTCCAGGCGGCATCTCCCCTTAACTGCTCCAGGCGGCATCTCCCCTTAACTGCTCCAGGCGGCATCTCCCCTTAACTGCTCCAGGCGGCATCTCCCCTTAACTGCTCCAGGCGGCATCTCCCCTTAACTGCTCCAGGCGGCATCTCCCCTTAACTGCTCCAGGCGGCATCTCCCCTTAACTGCTCCAGGCGGCATCTCCCCTTAACTGCTCCAGGCGGCATCTCCCCTTAACTGCTCCAGGCGGCATCTCCCCTTAACTGCATCAAGCGGCTGCTGCATCAGACGGCTGCTCCCCTCCACTGCTCCATCCCTCTCTTCCTGTGGCTCCAGGCTGACGCATCAAGTGACGAACCCCCCACACCCACCCCAGTGTGAGGAAGCCCCGAGGCTTATAAGTAAAACCGCAAGCCTCCTAAACGGAAACCCTTAGGTGGACCTAGAATGAGTATTTCCACACCCACGCCAGTGTGGACTCATCATTCAGAGGTAAGAGAAGATCTCCGCACCCTCGCCAGTGCGGTCTCCCTTCTCTTAAGAGTGACTCAAGTCCCCCGCACCCACCCCGGTGCGGTGCTGACTTTGTGGTGCAAGTGTAACCCCGACAGTGATGCTACCTGGAGGGTAAGGTACCCGGATTTGCTTGATTCTGGGCCCAGGCAGTGCAAAGCCTCCAGGGCGACTTTGCACTGCCAGAACCAAGCACCGGCCCGTCCTCCATCACATCATCGCCGAGGCTACACCCACACCGCGCCACTCGCCTTAGGACCGGCTGAGCCACACACTAGACTCAGCCACCTCTTAGGCCACCCTTGAGCTCCCATCTAGTCACCATCCGCGTAACCCTTCGCCACATCCCTCCACTGCTTCGCCACATCCCTCCCGCCGAGCCTCCGCTTCCGCAGCAACCCCTTCCGCAGCTTCCTCCTCCGTCTACTCCTTGCAACCCAGCCTCATCCTTGCAGCCCAGCGTAGGCTACTGCGCTGCTTCCCTGTAACTGCTACGCTGCTCCCCTGTAGGCTGCTTCCCTGGACAGCTGCTCTGCTTCTCTGGACGCTGCTCTGCTTCCCTGGACAGCTGCTCTGCTTCCCTGGACAGCTGCTCTGCTTCCCTGGACGGCTGCTCTGCTTCCCTGGACGGCTGCTTTGCTTCCCTGGACGGCTGCTACGCTTCCCTGGACGGCTGCTCCGCTTCCCTGGACGGCTACTCTGCTTCCATGGACGGCTTCTCTGCTTCCCTGAAGGGTGCTCTGCTTCCCTGAAGGGTGCTCTGCTTCCCTGAAGGGTGCTCTGCTTCCCTGAAGGGTGCTCTGCTTCCCTGAAGGGCTGCTCTGCTTCCTTGAAGGGTACTCTACTTCCATGGAGACGGATCTGCTTCCTTAAAAGTACTCTGCTTCCATGGACGGCTGCTCTGCATCCTTGAAGGGTGCTCTGCTTCCATGAAGGGCTGCTCTGCTTCCTTGAAGGGTACTCTGCTTCCATGGAGGGCTGCTCTGCTTTCTTAAAGGGTGCTCTGCTTCCTTGAAGGATACTCTGCTTCCTAGGAACCCATCCTGGCAGCAGCTGCTAAGGTGTCGTGTCAGCTGCAAGAGAATTGCAGCTTCACGAGTATGTGGCCTGCTTCACGATTGTCGTGGCGGCTTCACGAGTGAATGGCGGCTTCACGAGTGTCGTGGCGGCTCTCCATGCCTGCACATAACAAAAACGAAGTATTAGATACTCTTGCTCAAAAGGAACTCAAGCAGATTTCAAACAGAGCTTAAATTCAAGTAAAACAGAGCTTAAACACGAGCAAAACGGAGCTTTGCTTAACCTTCAACCAAGCAAAAAAAAGAGAACTTACAGTAGCCTGGCCGAGATCGGAGCTTCAAGCGTCATCTCCCTTGAAGAGCTTCGCCGCTCCATGGCGTTCTCCCTTGGAGAACCGCCACTCCTTGGCGTTCTCCCTTGCAGGTCCGCCGCGCTGCAAGGGGATGCGCGTTCGCCAAGCGGCAGCCACGATCCCACAGAGATTCGTTGTAGCCACGCTCCCAAGGGAATGCGCCTCCATGCCTGCACAGAAGGAAAACGAAGTATTAGTTTCTATAGCTTGAAAGGAACTCAGACAAAATTCAAACAGAACTTAAACCCAAGTAAAACGGAGCTTTAAAACAAGTAAAACAGAGCTTAAACACAAGTCAAACGGAGCTTACGTGAACTTACAGTAGCCTGGCCGTAATCGGAGCTTCAAGCGTCATCTCCCTTGAAGAGCTTTGCCGCTCCATGGCGTTCTCCCTTGAAGAACCGCCACTCCTTGGCGTTCTCCCTTGCAGGTCCGCCGCGCTGCAAGGGGATGCGCGTTCGCCAAGCGGCAGCCACGATCCCACAGAGATTCGTTGTAGCCACGCTCCCAAGGGAATGCGCCTCCATGCCTGCACAGAAGGAAAACGAAGTATTAGTTTCTAAAGCTTGAAAGGAACTCAGACAAAATTCAAACAGAACTTAAACACAAGTAAAACAGAGCTTAAACACGAGCAAAACGGAGCTTACGTGAACCTTCAACCAAGCAAAAAAAAGAGAACTTACAGTAGCCTGGCCGAGATCGGAGCTTCAAGCATCATCTCCCTTGAAGAGCTTTGCCGCTCCATGGCGTTCTCCCTTGGAGAACCGCCACTCCTTGGCGTTCTCCCTTGCAGGTCCGCCGCGCTGCAAGGGGATGCGCGTTCGCCAAGCGGCAGCCACGATCCCACAGAGATTCGTTGTAGCCACGCTCCCAAGGGAATGCGCCTCCATGCCTGCACAGAATGAAAACGAAGTATTAGTTTCTATAGCTTGAAAGGAAATCAGACAATATTCAAACAGAACTTAAATACAAGTAAAACGGAGCTTTAAAACAAGTAAAACAGAGCTTCATGAACTTACAGTAGCCTGGCCGTGATCGGAGCTTCAAGCGTCATCTCCCTTGAAGAGTTTCGCAGCTCCATGGCGTTCTCCCTTGGAGAACCGCCACTCCTTGGCGTTCTCCCTTGCAGGTCCGCCGCGCTGCAAGGGGATGCGCGTTCGCCAAGCGGCAGCCACGATCCCACAGAGATTCGTTGTAGCCACGCTCCCAAGGGAATGCGCCTCCATGCCTGCACAGAAGGAAAACGAAGTATTAGTTTCTATAGATTGAAAGAACTCAGACAAAATTCAAACAGAACTTAAACACAAGTAAAACGGAGCTTGTAAAACAGAGCTTAAACACAAGCAAAACGGAGCTTCATGAACTTACAGTAGCCTGGCCGTGATCGGAGCTTCAAGCGTCATCTCCCTTGAAGAGCTTCGCCGCTCCATGGCGTTCTCCCTTGGAGAACCGCCACTCCTTGGCGTTCTCCCTTGCAGGTCCGCCGCGCTGCAAGGGGATGCGCGTTCGCCAAGCGGCAGCCACGATCCCACAGAGATTCGTTGTAGCCACGCTCCCAAGGGAATGCGCCTCCATGCCTGCACAGAAGGAAAACGAAATATTAGTTTCTATAGCTTGAAAGAAACTCAAACAAAATTCAAACAGAACTTAAACACAAGTAAAACGGAGCTTTAAAACAAGTAAAACAGAGCTTAAACACAAGCAAAACGGAGCTTCATGAACTTACAGTAGCCTGGCCGTGACCGGAGCTTCAAGCGTCATCTCCCTTGAAGAGTTTCGCAGCTCCATGGCGTTCTCCCTTGAAGAACCGCCACTCCTTGGCGTTCTCCCTTGCAGGTCCGCCGCGCTGCAAGGGGATGCGCGTTCGCCAAGCGGCAGCCACGATCCCACAGAGATTCGTTGTAGCCACGCTCCCAAGGGAATGCGCCTCCATGCCTGCACAGCAGGAAAACGAAGTATTAGTTTCTATAGCTTGAAAGGAACTTAGACAAAATTCAAACAGAACTTAAACACAAGTAAAACGGAGCATTAAAACAAGTAAAAACAGAGCTTTAAAACAAGACAGAGCTGAAACACAAGCAAAACGGAGCTTACGTGAACTTACAATAGCCTGGCCGTGATCAAAGCTCCAAGCGTCATCTCCCTTGAAGAGCTTCGCCGCTCCATGGCGTTCTCCCTTGAAGAACCGCCACTCCTTGGCGTTCTCCCTTGCAGGTCCGCCGCGCTGCAAGGGGATGCGCGTTCGCCAAGCGGCAGCCACGATCCCACAGAGATTCGTTGTAGCCACGCTCCCAAGGGAATGCGCCTCCATGCCTGCACAGAAGGAAAACGAAATATTAGTTTCTATAGCTTGAAAGGAACTCAGACAAAACTCAAACAGAACTTAAACACAAGTAAAACGGAGCTTTAAAACAAGTAAAACAGAGCTTAAACACAAGCAAAACGGAGCTTCATGAACTTACAGTAGCCTGGCCGTGATCGGAGCTTCAAGCGTCATCTCCCTTGAAGAGCTTCGCCACTCCATGGCGTTCTCCCTTGGAGAACCGCCACTCCTTGGCGTTCTCCCTTGCAGGTCCGCCGCGCTGCAAGGGGATGCGCGTTCGCCAAGCGGCAGCCACGATCCCACAGAGATTCGTTGTAGCCACGCTCCCAAGGGAATGCGCCTCCATGCCTGCACAGAAGGAAAACGAAATATTAGTTTCTATAGCTTGAAAGAAACTCAGACAAAATTCAAACAGAACTTAAACACAAGTAAAACGGAGCTTTAAAACAAGTAAAACAGAGCTTAAACACAAGCAAAACGGAGCTTCATGAACTTACAGTAGCCTGGCCGTGATCGGAGCTTCAAGCGTCATCTCCCTTGAAGAGTTTCGCAGCTCCATGGCGTTCTCCCTTGAAGAACCGCCACTCCTTGGCGTTCTCCCTTGCAGGTCCGCCGCGCTGCAAGGGGATGCGCGTTCGCCAAGCGGCACCCACAATCCCACAGAGATTCGTTGTAGCCACGCTCCCAAGGGAATGCGCCTCCATGCCTGCACAGCAGGAAAACGAAGTATTAGTTTCTATAGCTTGTAAGGAACTTAGACAAAATTCAAACAGAACTTAAACACAAGTAAAACGGAGCATTAAAACAAGTAAAAACAGAGCTTTAAAACAAGACAGAGCTGAAACACAAGCAAAACGGAGCTTACGTGAACTTACAGTAGCCTGGCCGTGATCAAAGCTCCAAGCGTCATCTCCCTTGAAGAGCTTCGCCGCTCCATGGCGTTCTCCCTTGGAGAACCGCCACTCCTTGGCGTTCTCCCTTGCAGGTCCGCCGCGCTGCAAGGGGATGCGCGTTCGCCAAGCGGCAGCCACGATCCCACAGAGATTCGTTGTAGCCACGCTCCCAAGGGAATGCGCCTCCATGCCTGCACAGAAGGAAAACGAAATATTAGTTTCTATAGCTTGAAAGAAACTCAAACAAAATTCAAACAGAACTTAAACACAAGTAAAACGGAGCTTTAAAACAAGTAAAACAGAGCTTAAACACAAGCAAAACGGAGCTTCATGAACTTACAGTAGCCTGGCCGTGACCGGAGCTTCAAGCGTCATCTCCCTTGAAGAGTTTCGCAGCTCCATGGCGTTCTCCCTTGAAGAACCGCCACTCCTTGGCGTTCTCCCTTGCAGGTCCGCCGCGCTGCAAGGGGATGCGCGTTCGCCAAGCGGCAGCCACGATCCCACAGAGATTCGTTGTAGCCACGCTCCCAAGGGAATGCGCCTCCATGCCTGCACAGCAGGAAAACGAAGTATTAGTTTCTATAGCTTGAAAGGAACTTAGACAAAATTCAAACAGAACTTAAACACAAGTAAAACGGAGCATTAAAACAAGTAAAAACAGAGCTTTAAAACAAGACAGAGCTGAAACACAAGCAAAACGGAGCTTACGTGAACTTACAATAGCCTGGCCGTGATCAAAGCTCCAAGCGTCATCTCCCTTGAAGAGCTTCGCCGCTCCATGGCGTTCTCCCTTGAAGAACCGCCACTCCTTGGCGTTCTCCCTTGCAGGTCCGCCGCGCTGCAAGGGGATGCGCGTTCGCCAAGCGGCAGCCACGATCCCACAGAGATTCGTTGTAGCCACGCTCCCAAGGGAATGCGCCTCCATGCCTGCACAGAAGGAAAACGAAATATTAGTTTCTATAGCTTGAAAGGAACTCAGACAAAACTCAAACAGAACTTAAACACAAGTAAAACGGAGCTTTAAAACAAGTAAAACAGAGCTTAAACACAAGCAAAACGGAGCTTCATGAACTTACAGTAGCCTGGCCGTGATCGGAGCTTCAAGCGTCATCTCCCTTGAAGAGCTTCGCCACTCCATGGCGTTCTCCCTTGGAGAACCGCCACTCCTTGGCGTTCTCCCTTGCAGGTCCGCCGCGCTGCAAGGGGATGCGCGTTCGCCAAGCGGCAGCCACGATCCCACAGAGATTCGTTGTAGCCACGCTCCCAAGGGAATGCGCCTCCATGCCTGCACAGAAGGAAAACGAAATATTAGTTTCTATAGCTTGAAAGAAACTCAGACAAAATTCAAACAGAACTTAAACACAAGTAAAACGGAGCTTTAAAACAAGTAAAACAGAGCTTAAACACAAGCAAAACGGAGCTTCATGAACTTACAGTAGCCTGGCCGTGATCGGAGCTTCAAGCGTCATCTCCCTTGAAGAGTTTCGCAGCTCCATGGCGTTCTCCCTTGAAGAACCGCCACTCCTTGGCGTTCTCCCTTGCAGGTCCGCCGCGCTGCAAGGGGATGCGCGTTCGCCAAGCGGCACCCACAATCCCACAGAGATTCGTTGTAGCCACGCTCCCAAGGGAATGCGCCTCCATGCCTGCACAGCAGGAAAACGAAGTATTAGTTTCTATAGCTTGTAAGGAACTTAGACAAAATTCAAACAGAACTTAAACACAAGTAAAACGGAGCATTAAAACAAGTAAAAACAGAGCTTTAAAACAAGACAGAGCTGAAACACAAGCAAAACGGAGCTTACGTGAACTTACAGTAGCCTGGCCGTGATCAAAGCTCCAAGCGTCATCTCCCTTGAAGAGCTTCGCCGCTCCATGGCGTTCTCCCTTGGAGAACCGCCACTCCTTGGCGTTCTCCCTTGCAGGTCCGCCGCGCTGCAAGGGGATGCGCGTTCGCCAAGCGGCAGCCACGATCCCACAGAGATTCGTTGTAGCCACGCTCCCAAGGGAATGCGCCTCCATGCCTGCACAGAAGGAAAACGAAATATTAGTTTCTATAGCTTGAAAGAAACTCAAACAAAATTCAAACAGAACTTAAAACAAGTAAAACGGAGCTTTAAAACAAGTAAAACAGAGCTTAAACACAAGCAAAACGGAGCTTCATGAACTTACAGTAGCCTGGCCGTGACCGGAGCTTCAAGCGTCATCTCCCTTGAAGAGTTTCGCAGCTCCATGGCGTTCTCCCTTGAAGAACCGCCACTCCTTGGCGTTCTCCCTTGCAGGTCCGCCGCGCTGCAAGGGGATGCGCGTTCGCCAAGCGGCAGCCACGATCCCACAGAGATTCGTTGTAGCCACGCTCCCAAGGGAATGCGCCTCCATGCCTGCACAGCAGGAAAACGAAGTATTAGTTTCTATAGCTTGAAAGGAACTTAGACAAAATTCAAACAGAACTTAAACACAAGTAAAACGGAGCATTAAAACAAGTAAAAACAGAGCTTTAAAACAAGACAGAGCTGAAACACAAGCAAAACGGAGCTTACGTGAACTTACAGTAGCCTGGCCGTGATCAAAGCTCCAAGCGTCATCTCCCTTGAAGAGCTTCGCCGCTCCATGGCGTTCTCCCTTGGAGAACCGCCACTCCTTGGCGTTCTCCCTTGCAGGTCCGCCGCGCTGCAAGGGGATGCGCGTTCGCCAAGCGGCAGCCACGATCCCACAGAGATTCGTTGTAGCCACGCTCCCAAGGGAATGCGCCTCCATGCCTGCACAGAAGGAAAACGAAATATTAGTTTCTATAGCTTGAAAGAAACTCAAACAAAATTCAAACAGAACTTAAACACAAGTAAAACGGAGCTTTAAAACAAGTAAAACAGAGCTTAAACACAAGCAAAACGGAGCTTCATGAACTTACAGTAGCCTGGCCGTGACCGGAGCTTCAAGCGTCATCTCCCTTGAAGAGTTTCGCAGCTCCATGGCGTTCTCCCTTGAAGAACCGCCACTCCTTGGCGTTCTCCCTTGCAGGTCCGCCGCGCTGCAAGGGGATGCGCGTTCGCCAAGCGGCAGCCACGATCCCACAGAGATTCGTTGTAGCCACGCTCCCAAGGGAATGCGCCTCCATGCCTTCACAGCAGGAAAACGAAGTATTAGTTCTTATAGAAATGAAGAGAGCTCAAAGGGAATTTTGAAAAGGTAAACCAGAACATTATGAAGTAGAAATATAGGAACGTAAGAGGCTTACTTAAGCCCGTCGTGAAGAGTGTTGCCATCAGCCGTGAAGAGTGTTGCCATCAGCCGAAGAGTGACGCCATCCGCCGAAGAGTGATGCCAGGTGAAACCGTAGATGCTGAAACGCACGAGGGGGAACACACACTAGGCACGAAGTTAGAAAACAGGAACACTAGAAACACAAGAGGAAAAAAAAGCAAAACGGAATGCGAAAATGAAGAAATCGAAAGCGGTAACAGACAATGTAAACAAACGGGGTGGGATCGTCCATGGCGCTTCGGCTGCAGCTAGCAGAGGGAGGATCTATCTACCCGTTCCCAACCCAACCGCGGAGGATCATCTGTAGCTGCAGCCTAGGCGCCAGAGGGACGGTGGAATCGTTGAATAAACAACAAAGCGGATGGCGGAATGGCGGATTGCAAAACAGAAAAACGACAAACAAAGGGAAAAAGTAGAGAGGAAGGGAACGACACTTCCCAATCAGTTGAAGTTGGAGTAGTCGGTCTCCCGTTGCACGCCACACGAAAAAGCGTTGAAGCCAGCGACAACAGTTAAAGACTAGATCCACTTTGCGCACCGAAGACACTCGACCCTGCAAAGGTTGAAACAAAAACATAGTCAGGCCTAGGGCATCATGCGGAAAAACAGATTTATCATGAGGTTGAAACAAAACGAGTCAGGCCTAGGGCATCATGCGGAAAAACAGACTCTTCTCACCTCTGATGGCGGCAGATCTCGTGGCCTTCAATAGTTGCTGCTCGTTGCTTCAATGGTTGCTGCTCGTTGCTTCAAAGGTTGCTGCTCGTTGCTTCAAAGGTTGCTGCTCGTTGCTTCAAAGGTTGCTGCTCGTTGCTTCAACGGTTGCTGCTCGTTGCTTCAACGGTTGCTGCTCGTTGCTTCAACGGTTGCTGCTCGTTGCTTCAACGGTTGCTGCTCGTTGCTTCAACGGTTGCTGCTCGTTGCTTCAACGGTTGCTGCTCGTTGCTTCAATGGTTGCCGCTCGTTGCTTCAACGGTTGCTGCTCGTTGCTTCAATGGTTGCCGCTCGTTGCTTCAATGGTTGCCGCTCGTTGCTTCAACGGTTGCTGCTCGTTGCTTCAATGGTTGCTGCTCGTTGCTTCAACGGTTGCTGCTCGTTGCTTCAATGGTTGCTGCTCATTGCTTCAACGGTCGCTGCTCGTTGCTTCAAAAGGTGCTGCTCGTGGCCTCAAAAGGTGCTGCTCGTTGGTTGAACCTGCAAATATCAAATAAAAAAGTCAGTCATCCAGATCTGGACCTTAAAATCAAACACAAATAGAACCAGATTCGACTCTGAATTAAGACAACGAAACCAATGCGCGCTTACCATGGGGAGATCGGTTGGTAGGCGGGGCGGGGGGTGGTGTAGGGATGGGTGCGGGGTGGCAGGTTGGCGGTGGAGGCGAGTGGTGGTGGGCGATCTCCCATCTTGAGGACAAGACTTGCAGCCGTGGCCCCAGGACTTGCTTCTCGTGGTCTTGGGACCCTGCAAGTGTTCAAACGAGAAGTGAGTTAGAAATAGATCTAGATCTGAAAATCGAAGTTGAAACAAAAAAATTTAACCAAATTGAAAACTGAATAAAAAAAGCCAAAAATGGCAAAGAAAGCCAAACGGTTTAACACGAAACGCTTACCTCAGGAGTTTGGAAGGTAGGCTGGGCGAGGGGCGGAGTGCGGCTGAAGGGCGAGTTGAAAGTTGGCGATGGAGGCGAGTGGGGATGGAACTCCTCACGGCTGAAACGTCTCTGCTCGTGGCCTTCAACAGTTGCTGCACGAGGCCTTCAATAGTTGATGCTCGAGCCTTCAATAGTTGCTGCTCGAGGCCTTCAATAGTTGCTGCTCGAGGCCTTCAGTAGTTGCTGCTCGAGGCCTTAGCGGTTGAACCTGCAAATAATAAAACAAATTGGAGTTAGAGAAAAATCCAGATACGGGCATTTAAAATTTAAACACGAATAAATCAGATCTGAAACTGAATCAACTCCAATGCACACTTACCTTGTGGAGATCGGTTGGTAGGCGGGGCGGGGGGCGGTGTAGGGATGGGTGCGGGGTGGCAGGTTGGCGGTGGAGGCGAGTGGTGGTGGGCGATCTCCCATCTTGAGGACAAGACTTGCAGCCGTGGCCCCAGGACTTGCTTCTCGTGGTCTTGGGACCCTGCAAGTATTCAAACGAGAAGTGAGTTAGAAATAGATCTAGGTTTGGAAATTGATGCTGAAATTAAAAAATTAACCAAATTGAAAACTGAATGAACAAAAGCCAAAAATGACAAGGAAAGCTACCTCAGGAGCTTGGAAGGTAGGCTGGGCGAGGGCGGAGTGCGGCTGGTGGGCGAGTTGAAAGTTGGCGATGGAGGCGAGTGCGGGTGGAACTCCTCACGGCTGAAACGTTGCTGCTCGTGGCCTGTAGTTGCTGCTCGTGGCCTTCGATAGTTGCTGCTCGTGGCGTTGGTTGCTGCTCGTTGCAACAATAGTTGCTGCTCGTGGCCTTCAAGAGTTGCTGCTCGTGGCGTTGGTTGCTGCTCGTTGCTGAAGCGTCGCTGCTCGTGGCCTCCGGTACTTGTTGCTCGTGGCCTCCGGTACTTGTTGCTCGTGGCATTCATAATTTGCTAAGCTGGGCGGAGGGCGGGTTGTATGATGGCGTTAAGGGCGAATCGTGACGGATCTCGAGAGGCATGCCATTAGGAAGACGGAGGTTGTCTGAACAACCCTACTCTAAAGGAAGCAAGGAGCATAAGGCCGCTGGAGTGAACGGCTGATTGGAGCACTTGTGAGAGGTGTGGCCACTGGAGTGAACGGCTGAACAAACTTTGTGAGGCAAAGTTTTGCACTATACAAGCCTAATTTCGATCGCGGTGGACCTGGGGCTTCTGGATGATAGAGAGGAGAAGAGTCGGCCTTGCAACTTCGCGGTCTATTTTGTGCCGCTGAAGTTCGCGGCTGTTTTCCTGTCCCTACCCTGTGAGGTGTGAGGAGGCTCTCAGCAGCTTTGGCGGCAAGGGAAGGATGGGGCAGGGGAGAACTGTACAAGGGGCGGCAAATTGCTGCATTCCCTCTCCACTCTGGCAGAAGAAAGATGCTGGCAGAAGCACAATGATGTGTTTTCCGAGGCTGATGTAAGAGGCTCGTCACATCAGCCTCGGAAAACCCTACCACCCTCGGTGGCGTGGGCGAGCCACTTCAGAGAGCAGCAGTGTACTGTACTCACCACCACTTGTGATGGGTGTGGTGACACTCACCACCACTTGTAAGGAGTGTGGTGGTCACCACCACCAAATATATCCTGCCAAAAATTTTGGTTTAGGGCGGCGGATTGCAGCAATCCCGAAAAGTTGTGTGCTCGAAATGACCACAGACAAAGTATCCGCGCGAAGCGCGATGCTCACGTTGATGCAGTCTGCACACCACCAGTTGGACGAAAAGGCGGGAACGGGGAGGCTCGGAACTGTAGCATACTGTGCGAAGCTGCCCATGGACTCTAGGTGACGAGAGTTGAGCGACCCGAGAATAATCGCACAACCCCGCGCCAAATTGAATCAACCAGCAGTGACACGCTGGCAGGAGCGGCGCCGACGAAAATCGCCACATCAACATTTCGATGAGCGACTGTGGCTGACGACACGACAGGGGAGCGACCCAAAATTTCATCTTGTTGCGATGCTGTGCCGATGAGCGTCGCCTCGCCAGGTCAGTTGATTGCAGTTCACGTCCCGCGCTTCGGGCCAGTGGGTGGCAGTTAAAAGCGGCGAAGGAAACAGCCCGCTTTAAACTGTTACACAATGTATAATTATTTATTTCTACTTTCGTTTTTACGATATGCGAATTAAGAAAGCGGACTCAAGAATTGACTGATGGACGAACACAATCCTGCCCACCTCTTTCCAGATCAAGCATACCATTCGGGAATACAATTTACCTTCAAACAGTTTACCCAAGAAAGAGATACGTGAGAAACGAAGACTGTGATAGAGACAATTCCATTTACCATGTTAACATATACAATGTGAAAATTAATGTTGGGTAACAAACACAATTAAGTGCAGGTGTGGCATCAGTGATGCCCAAGCCCCCTTTTCAGCATGGGAAATTCATCCATCCATCCATCCATCCAACCGACCCACCCACATGTTTGTCCAACATCCTGAGGGGCAGCCAAACGCTGTGGCATCGGCTGGCATCAGGCTCATTTTCTTAAGGCTATCTAAACGGAATTGGAGCACCGCAACAATCCCCCAATGCTAAGTGTACTCTGACGTGCACAACTTATCAAGGGAATGCAGTGAGAAAGAGCAGCTGATGACCATAGAGTCGAATGCCCCCACCCCCGTGGCTGGCCATCAGTCCATGACGATCTTCTTGGAATTCGGGCATCTCCAACGGCTCAACGGACCTGAACGAATGTGATACAATGTGCGTGAAAGCATTCTCAGAAAGTGGTTGGGTCATCCTGTTAATTTAAGCCAGCTGGAAACAAGACACGCGGAAGGGGCTCGGGAAAGAGTCTTTCCATTTCGTCAAGTGTGGGGTTCAGATAAACAGATGGGTGAAAGAATCTAAAATAAGATGGAGGGCATGCGCATTCCACCCGTTAGCCGCAGCTGAACCGCGCCCGAGCGACATGCAAGCTACAGCGGACCATGCGCAAGCCACACGCACCTCTCTCGGGACGAAAGCAGTGAAGCGAGCGGGGTGAACGGGAGAGGCAAATACGACTCATGCTGCACAGCGGAAGCGGTACGGCACCTGGTGTGGCGTGGGGAGGAAGACGGGCAAGACAAAGTGGAGAATTGACAAGATAAGATATGGTGCCTGGTGTGATGAGGAAGATGGCGGAGAAGGGAGAGTGCACGGTTTAACAGGAAGGAGAAGGTAAGGGAAAAGAGACAACATGCCCGGTTTCACTCTCCCCTGTCTCACCCTCCCCTGTCTCACTCTCCCCTGTCCCACTCTTCCCCGTCTCAACCTCCCCTGTCCCACTCTACCCTGTCTCACTCTCCCCTGTCCCACTCTCCCCTGACACACTCTCCCCCGTCTCCCTCTTCCCTCTCTCAATCTCCCCCGTCCCACTCTCACATCTCTCGCACTGGTGCATGGTGCGGGGTGCCACTCACTCACCTCAGGATGGGTGAAGACCTGGCGAAGGGTGGAGTAGGGCTGCAAGGAATGGGGTGTCAGATAGGTGGGCGCAGGAGAGGGCACAGAGGAGGGCACAGAGGAGAGGAGGACGGAGATGGACTTTGAAAGCTTGATGCAAAGGTGGTGGAGGGGGGATGCTAAACTGTTGTAAAGTTACATGTCAGCAGAATTGCAGACAAAAAGAAAAGGGGTTTGGGGTTGGAAGAGCAGCACGAATGATGGGTGATGCATTGGTGTGCGTGCGCGCTGGTGAATGGAGGCCCACAGAGGAAAACGAAAGGGGATTGGTTGGGCGAGCAAGAGGTGAGCGGAGGTTAATGGGCTGACGTGCATGTGGGGCTGAGGGCAACGGATGGACTGACGTGTGTGTTGGTGGATGGAGGCCCACAGAGCCATGTTGCCTATCCGCGTGTGGGCGTCCTCACTCGCTGCCCTCTCTGCATACTTGCAGTTGGGGTAACCAGGAAAATGACAGTGCACGAGATGAAGGCTGCAGGCGCGCCTGCAGCCCTGAGAAGAGCGTGTGGGCGCTGCCCAGCCCTGTGCGCGCCGTGCCCAGAGGACCTCTGTGGATCACCGTGCTCTGCATGAGATAGCGGGGGGAAGATAGAAATGTGTAGCAGGGAAGGTTCATAATGAGAAAGTCAATGACACAGAGAAAGCGTTGACATTTATGAGGTACAGGGAATACGGGGTGGGAGGAAAGGACAAATATCCGAAGGTAGGAGGCAAGAATTGTACTGACCTAACCATCAGCCTAGGAAGGTGATTGCGAATCTACTGCTAACCATAACTCTCTGAATGCGAAATTTGCGAAACTACTCGTTCTGTGAACACGAATATCACGAAACTACTGACAATCATTCTGTGTCTGCAAAATTCGCAAAATTACTGACCATCACTCTGTGGATGCGAATAATATCGCCGACATTGGCAACTTGCGGCAGTTGAACAGCTCAGGGAGCAATAACATTGATGGCATAGCCAGGGCTGTGGCACGAGCTGTCGGCTAGTAGCAGCGTGCAGAAAAAAATCTAAGAAGGGGATGCACGCGCGAGTTGGGGAAACACGAGATTCACGGAAATGAAACCACTTGCGAAAAAAAAAAAAAAAAAAAAAAAAAAAAAGACGGGGAGGAGGGAAGGGAGGGAGAAACCCGAGGAAGGAAACTGTTGGGTCATCAGATTTGAGACGACATGCAGGAATCTTAAGAGCGATTACCTGTCCCCTGGGAGTGCCGGATGTTGTCTGCGAGGACCACCACGCCGAAGACATTCACCTTCTGCCCCGCTGCTGCAGGCACGTCGCTCAACGGCGTGTAGATGTACTTGTCCTGCTGCTGTCGTACGGGAGAGGCGTACTCGGCCTGCAGTAATGGTAAGAAACGCGTGCGGTAGCACGCTTTTGAGAGCCTTTCTGCGGAGATTTAGCGGAGAAGCGAACATCGATGACGGATAGTGTCACGGAAGAAAGAAGCAAACTAGGAGTGGGAGGGAAAGAAGCGATAACAAAGACAAGCTGTTCCGAAGGTTCGTGAGTATTTTTTGGTACAAAGTAAATTGACGAGTCCTAGACTAGATCGGATTTAAATTATAGTAGACAGGGGAATAAAACTTACAAACCATCGGATTGCTGGCGTTCTAAAACTAGTACGTCGTAAGGCTAAAAGAATATACTTCCAAGTCACGGAATCCGACGCATGCAGAAAGGCCTACTACTACTGTGGAATGCAAACAAGACTATTGAGAATGGGCTGGTAAAGATCACAAAGCGTGGTGCTGAAGAGCCGTTGCTGAAACGACGACTGAGGATGAGCTTCGATCAATCCGAGGTCATAAATGGACGACGAGTATCTGAGATGTAGGAAGGAAGAAAGAAAATTGGGCAAGGAAAAAAGGGAGAGCGCGTGTTCATGACGATTTGCTCTAGGTTTAGCTCGCGAGAGTCGCGAATCTGTGGGGCTGCTCGCTGGATCGGGTTACAAGTCGTCGACCTTGACTGGGGGTTAAAGGAGGGGGGGAAACCCCTCTGGGTGTTAACCACACCTGGCTGTCGGTCGTAACCCGCCTCCCCATTTGTTTACACTCCTCGCTGGGTCAACGAGGTTGTTCTATCCACTCCCAGATGAGCACCTGTGTAACCCCCTTCTGGGGGGCTGGCAGAACACGCCGCAGGGGGGATTTGATCCCGGGACCTCATCTTTCGGAAGTGAACCAGCTAACCAGCTGGGCCACTTCAGGATCCGACCTTGACTGGGGGGATCTTATCTGGCGCGTGTCAGAAGCATGACCTTCTGCCAGTGCTGAGCGAGAAACGGGTCACCCGAAATTTTGGTCGCTGCCTTTGATTGGTTCATGGTTTCACGGTTTTGCTTTTCTAACAAAGCAAATCCATTTTCTGCCCCGTTCGGGCAAAATTCGATACAAGCCCCAGCCAGTTTCCGCGCCCATCCCCATTCGCATGCGCAATGCCTGACATTCTGCGCCAGTCCGCCAGTTACACAAACCATTGGGGACCCTGGGAATGTCGCACACATGCCTGACTGGCGGGATCCGTATCCGCACCTTCCCCTGTGTTCCCACCACTCCGCATCACAGCCATTCACCATCGTCCCTTCCGCTAACCTGGAATTTCTGGCTTTGCTTATTCGTCGCTCGGTTCCTGGGTGCTCTAGGACCACGCTTAGGAAGCTCCTGAGGCCGTGCCCTTAGCGACAATGGCGGCTATTCGCGCGAGCGCGTCTCTGCCGCTGGCGCCGTCTCAAGCTCTTCGCGGAGAGCCCGAGTTTGCGGAGGCGGGCGTTCAGAGCCCACGGACCAGCCGCATTAGCCTACCTCGCCATGAGGGCTTGAGATGCGTGTTACCAGCAACGACTAACACTGCAGTGTTTAGCAGAGCTCCATGCAGAGTCAGTCGATTTTATAAAGGGGATATTACTTCAGGTGGCATTCGGTCCAGATTAAGCGGCAGCGCGAGTGATAAAGATGAAGTTAAATTAGCGGATTCGGCCATGGCCGCAATTCTGGTAGAGGAGAAAGAGTCGACGCGGCTATTATGCCACAGAAACCGCGCTTGGTTTGGAATACAGTGTAGAGTCTACAGACGACGACGATGACTACGACAATGAGACGGATATGGAGGACGCGCAGTGCAATGGCAGCGAATCGCAAACGAAGTCTCGCCAGCGGTTACCATCGCTGGCGGAAAGGTTAGGGGACGATCGTGACTGGCGGAAGTGGAGGACGCGGAAGTGGAGAAGGCGGATACCTTGGCGGAGCTGCTGCGGGGAAAGCTGGCTGCGTTGCGCGGGGAAGCGGGTGGAGCGGCGTCGCTCGCCGCGGCGGAAGCAGCAGCGGCGGAAGCTGCTTCCGCCATTGCGGAAAAAGCGGAGGCGGAAACTGCGGTGGCGGCAGCAGCAGCATCATCAGCAGCCGCCGCCGCGGAAGAGAAGAAGAAGCCGCCGCCGCCGGGCGGGGGATGGTTCAGCGGGTTGGGGAGTCTGTTGGGGGGTGAGAAGGAGAAGAAGGCGGAAACGGCGAGGGGAAATGCGGAGAGAGCGCACGCTAGAGGAGATCATCCCAAAAATCACGAGGCCGATATCGGCTGGAAAGAGTGGGATACCCCCAGGTCACACTCGGGGGGTAACCCTGATGTTCCCATCCACTTTCCCGCAGGTTACCCCAGAGGGCTGGCGATCGCTGCGAAGTGGTAATTCTCGCGATTGGGATTTCGGGTGATGAAAGCGGACCAATCAGGGGAGAGCTCCAGTTCGTTGTAAACCAGGGGATACCCCCGCAGCTTCGGATCGAGCCTGCTCACCTGGTTAGTGCACACTGTTTCGGCAACCACAGCTGACCCCAGGCACTGTACACGTTTTTATCAAGATAACAGCAGCTATGATCACCACTTATTTCGATATATCGAGATTCTCTGCAATACGGTTCTACTGATGTGTTTCGCTAGGTGGCAGCAAGGATTTCGTGCACCAATCACATTTGTCCTAGTCACCCCAGGGAAAGAGTCCCCCCTGTATGTATTTCACAACCCCATCTCGCCCATTTCGGTCATTATTTCGTGTTGCCAAGCTGGTAGAGTTCCAGGATTTCTTAGCTCGCCGCCATGTCCGTGTTTTCCGCTCCCTAGCTTTCCTATACCTTGCTGTAGATTATGCTTGAACGATAAGTATCTTGGTTTCTCGTTTACTCTTTCGGTTGTTAAGCCACGTCAATACCCTGGCGCTCTTAGGCGTGCATGTTAATGTGCTTTCATATCGTCAGTTGCTTACTGTTTCCTCGCGCCATGTGTGTTTCTTTTCAGGAGTCGTCTGCCTTCGTGCCAGGAGCTCATGTGTGGAGGTCTAGAATGTGTCTATGAGGTAAGCAAGATTCCCGTAATTCACCTGTTTTACGTCGCGCCACTTCCATTCGGCTGCCAGCCGTTTTGCTCCGTTGGCGCTCCTTATTTCTTTGTGTGCGTTCAGGAGTTCTTGCCTCACGGGCTCACGGCGCCGCTTTTGCGATTACTGATACTTTTTCCGGTTTAATTTTGCCTATTGGCTACTCTCGTGCTTTGGCTATTGTTAAGAGTTAGTTCCAGCTATCCTTCCTTAACGACCTCTTGACATTAGCTGTTTCCTCGTTTCCCCGTTTTCCATTGCTTCCAGGTGTCACACGTTATTGGAAGATCTGCCACATGGTCAGCCACCTTCTAGTGTTTACGCTGTATCTTGTGATCTGTTTTTCGCACATGCAGAGGGTAGTGAAATACGATGAATTGTCTCACTGGAATTTTGTTGATGTTCGATTTCCAATATTAAGTAAACAATACTCTAGTAATTTGCTTTTGCAACCATGTTCTAACAATTAGCTGTCCAACCCCCAAAACTAAGGTTCTCGGCGGTTATTTATTATCATTAATAATTGCGGTTATATTGGGATTTCTTTTCTGATCGCGTAGAATATAGCAGGGAAAAAATAATTCTGCGCTGTACACAGCATTTAAGCTTCAAGCGATGAGTTCTACAACGCAGATGCGGCTCGCGCTCGAGTTGGGTCCGCGAGAAGCGGGAACTCCCGCGATTGGGCCCCAACTTCTCGGGGGGTAACTTGTTTGTGACTTGTGGGTCACCGCGTGGGGTCACCTCAGTGTGACAACGAACTGAACTTCGATTGGGGGTAACATTAGGGTATCACTGTTGGCGACACTGGGGTATCACTAATCGGGGTAACCCTGATGTGACCTTGGGGTAGATATTTGCGGGGGACTTTTTTGGGATGATCGGCGGAGGCGCAGGGCGCCAGCAGAGCGCAAGGCGCGGTGTTGGGGCAACGACGGCGCGGGCGCAGGATCAGGGGCAGGGACATCGGGGAAGGAAGAGACATTTTCGCGGAATGACGTGGCATGGCTGATGGAGGGGAGCCTGGCGGCGGGCAACGTGGCACTCAGCTATTCGCTGCTGAATGCGTGCAAGACGTCCGCTCTGGCGCTCAATGCGGGCTCGCCCGGGGCAGGTGCGGCAGTACGTGAGGGGATTTAGTGCAAGGTCATGGGCGGTACGATCAGGCATAATGGACCGGTGGGGATCGGTGGTGCTGATGGGAGTGGCGCATGCTTGCTGCGTACTCATCTCCCCGTCCCCCCCCCTCGCCGCCCTGCTTCCCCCGTTCCCCCCTCTGCCATTTTCCCCCCACCCCGCTCCCGCTCCCTTGCAGCGCGCGCGCGCGTGTGGCCGGCGGTGGGCGTGCGCGTGTACGCGGCGATGGTGAGGGGGCTGGCGGCGCTGCTGCGAGTGGCGGACGCCGTGGCGCTGGTGGGGGAGGTGCAGCGGCGGGGCGTGCCTGAAGGGGACAGAGAGGTGAGGGGGGAGGGCGGGGTAAGGGAAGGGGGGAGGGGGAAAAGTTGGAAGGGAAGCAGAAGGGGACAGAGAGGTGGAAAAGGGAGGGGAAAGAGAGGTGAATGGGGGAATGGGTGACAGAGAGGTTAGTCGGAGCACAAGGCCTTCACTCCATTGTGATGCACTCATGAGACGACGAGCGTGCAATGTCAGTGAGCGTGCAATGTCAGTGAGCGTGCAATGTCAGTGCGCGTGCAATGTCAGCAAGCATTGCTCGCGATTCCTCTCCTTACTGCTTTCCCTGTGTCCCCGCTCTCCCTCCCCACTTTCTCCCCACCAGGAGTGGAAGCAGCAGGCGGAGGTGAACGATGAGTTGGAGCGGCTGCTGAGAAGCGATGTGCTGTTTCTTTCATTCTCACTCCTTTCTTTCTCTGTGTCTCACCGTCCATCTCTCCCTCCCCCCCCCCTGCCAGGAGTGGAAGCAGCAGGCGGAGGTGAACGATGAGTTGGAGCGGCTGCTGAGGAGCGCGCCTGCTCTGCCCGACTCCACCTCCTGGCAGAGCTGATTCAAATGGCCACCTGACAGCAAGTTTCAAGTGCCGTTTTGTTGGCTCGGCAGACGCTGGCAGGGCTGAGCTGAATGGGCACAGACCAGAAGCTTGAAAGAGCCTCACTGTTGACTCTGCAACGTGGCATACCCCAGCTGAACCAGCACGATTTTGAAGTTAGAAAGAGCCTCATTATTGGTTGCCTGAGAGCTCTCTCAGCACTATGCTGCAAAGTGTCAAACAATATGTTCAATATATACCCTGCGTGCTGTAGTTACTGTAGTTATTATTATTAAGAGTTGGTGGTGCACCTTCTTTGTTGCTTTGCTATATGTACCTTGTGTGCTATAGTGAAATCCCCTTCTTTCTCGTAACTCTCTTGGCACAACTCCCTCGACACCCCTTGGCCTAGGCTCCTAAGCCTAGGCCCTCCTAAACTCATACGTCCCTATCTTAACATGGTACAGAGCTGGTTCTTTCCCGGAACCTTCTCTTTTTTTTTAAGAATCATGGGCCCGCCCGTACTACAGCGCGAAAATGCGCTATTTTTTCTCCCCGTTCGCCCGTCACGCGCGCCCTGCCCGTCCCCCCGAACGTGCCACGTCGGCTGCCTCGCGGACGCCCCGTCGGCTGCCCCGCGGACGCCCTGCCCGTCGCCCGCTGCCCCCCCCCCGTTTCGTAGCCACGCGGCCCCCATTTCGTCGCCACGCGGCCCCCGTTTCGTCGCCCCCGTCACCCCGCAATCCGCCAGCGCGGAGGCCAGCGCCGCGGCCAGCCGCCAGCGCCAGCAGCAGCTACCGCCGCCCCCCCCCCCCCCGCCCTCCCTTCCGCGGCTTCCGTCGTGGGGAGGGGGGAGGGAGGGGGAAGGGGTTGTGGGGGGGGGCGGGTGTGAGGAGCCTGCCACTCCTCCCTCCCTTCCCTCTTCCTCTCTCCCTGCAGCAACTGTTGCTGTAGGGGGGGGGGGGAGAGAAGTGCAGAAGGGTGAGGGGGTGGCGGGAGAAGACAGGTGCGGAAGGTGTGAGGTTGACGGGGTTGAGTGACGAGGGGGGTGAGGACTAAGGGGTTCTTAACGGGGGGGGATCGCATTGAGCGTGCGCGCTCATGCCCGCCTAGCCCACCTCCTCTCCTCATCGGGACTTGGGGGTTCTTAACGGGGGGGGATCGCTATGAGCTTTCGCGCTCAAGCCCGCCTAGCCCACCTCCTCTCCCTTCCCTCTCTCACCTCCCCTTTGTAAAAGGAGGTTCGTAAGCGGGTCCGCCGGTCCTGGCCCCCCACCTCCTCTCCTCTCCTCTCCTCTCCTCTCCTCTCCTCTCCTCTTCTCTCCTCTCCTCTCACCTTCCTCACTTCTCTGCCTTCTTCCACAGCGCTTGGTTTGCTCGTTCAGGGGGTGCTGGCTGCACCAGTTTCTACTGCACGCAGGCTAAGGGGGTGTGTCAAACAATATGTTCAATATATACCCTGCGTGCTGTAGTTACTGTAGTTATTATTATTAAGAGTTGGTGGTGCACCTTCTTTGTTGCTTTGCTATATGTACCTTGTGTGCTATAGTGAAATCCCCTTCTTTCTCGTAACTCTCTTGGCACAACTCCCTCGACACCCCTTGGCCTAGGCTCCTAAGCCTAGGCCCTCCTAAACTCATACGTCCCTATCTTAACACAAAGGCCCTCCTTGCTCTGCCTGGTAAAGCATCCTGCCATCCGTGCTCTGCTGGTCTGAACCGGCACCCAGGGACAAAGGCGCCCTGTCTGTTCAAACATTTAAGTTGGGCTTTGCTGACCTGAACTGAAAATGTTTTTATTGAGGAATTGCATGCGTTTCTCATTCCAGCTAGCGTTGTGTGGTACCGTACATGCACTTCATTCCAGCACCTGGTGTTCCAATACCTTGCACTCCCGTACTGGTGCCATGCCAGTTGAATGAAGGTTAGGGAGATAATGTGGATACAAAAACAAACTATAATCCAGGGAAGCAACTGAGGAGATTTCATCTGAAT